AAATATTAAACACTATTATAGTCATGCTATGTCCTAGTTTCGCTCTCCTATTTGTCGAGGACAATTGTATTTGTAGAAGTGGAAATATAAGTATTTATATTTATTTTAAAGAATGGGTTCACAATTGCGGACCATATTGTGTAATTTCGCCTCTGTAGAGCAGGAACCGTCGCAATATATAGGGTGTCCATAAAAAAAATTACACTTTTGAAGTGCAATATCTCCGGAACAGAAAGGCATGGAACAGTGAGATTTTAGGGGGATACTCAGGGGGTCATGTGATTTTTTTTTAGACTAGGTAATGACTCACTGGGTGTGAGATTCTATCGTGTCATGCGCCTCTATCCTCCTCTCCGGAGACATGCTGTCAGGCGATCTTATGAGATCTTGGGCTCTGTTCGACTCGGATGGAATCCCTGATGTCCGTCCCCTCGTACGATCTTCGAACTCCAGATTAACAAGAGAGACGATCTTTGAAGCGGAGGGAAGTTCCCATGACCCTGTGTTAGAATTTTTGAATAAAAAAATTCCAGCTTAGAACACGAGACGTATGCACCATACATTTACAGTGTTCACTGTACTGCCAAGGAATAATTTATTGGCTTTTTTTGTTATCGAGGCTTTTTGGCAGGTAAGAAAGGATGCTTTGCCGCTTCCTATATAACACTGAAACATCACCGAAACACCTGAAGTCACTCCTGCAAGCCAACCTACAATGAATAGATCTTGCAATAGAAGTTCTGGAATTATATTTCTGGGACTGATTGATAATAACTAGCAAGGGCCCAATAGATAATAGCAACTATTAAATATCGTTAATTCATTGTAAGTGTAATGAATCAACTAATTTTGTGCTGGGATCTAAGTTCTGGAATTATATTTCTGGGACTGATTGATAATAACTAGCAAGGGCCCAATAGATAATAGCAACTATTAAATATCGTTCATTCATTGTAAGTGTAATGAATCAACTAATTTTGTGCTGGGATCGCATTGTTATATGATATAACGCTAATGCTGAGATAGCTATTTGATAACTATATCTAGAACCAGAGCGATAGCTATAGCAAATGGGTTAAGATCTGATCATTTCTTGAGTGGTGTTTCCAATAACTGTTCATATTCATCCTTTGGGCCTTTAATGAGAACTCCACTTATCATACTTCAGTTCGGAGAACCGCTTTAAATAAAAAGGTCAAAGTTATGATTTAACAATTTCTTGGTGACGTTTGACCTGATACGAGCCATATTGATTTAATAAATGACTAATCAAATTAGCTTTGTCCCTATTTCATTTTCTCAGCCAGTCAAGATAAGTGAATGGAAAATAAAATAACCGAAAATATACTGACTAAGTCGAACATTGGAAAGCATCCATCCGTCTTTTGCCTTCTAGCTTGTCAAAACGTCCTTAACTGTAAGGATGGATGAAGCCAGACCCTGGATCCTTGATCCGCTGCAAATCACGGCGTAGGAATGGCGCTGAGTGAAGAGGCTCCCTGATGAGGAAAATAACTTCACATCATAATTGTTGTCCTATTTCGCTATGTTAGTGAGAACTTGAATATGTCGCCTTTCCTTGGAGCAGCATTAACCATCACCACACCGGTCCTTGATTGTAGTCCTTCAAATGCTCCCTGTATCGCAGAAGCAACTTCAATCTCGGTTATGAGGGCGATGGGTGCTCTTGGTGCTTTGTGAAGGGTCTGGTGCTCCTGAAGTCCCAACATACATGTTTTTGCCACATCAAAGCTCTGACAAAAGACATTACATATGGAAATAATGTTGGACCTGCAGGCAAAATACTCATACCAAGAAAGTAATTGCAGTCACCTTGATTGAGAAGGCTGCTGCACAGAAAGGTTCCTTGAAAACACCTTCAGGGAGTCGAAATACATTTCCTAGGATCAGCTTGACTTCGTAATCTGGAGCTTTCCGCAACGTTTCATTGATTTCGCCGTTCGTGCAGCGCTGTACATAACTTTTCCATTCCAGGTTTTTTTTTGCGTTTTTCATTTTAAGGTATGCTTCCAAGGCTTGTTCCGTGAGATGACTAGAACAGGTTTCTAGTTCCTCTTTGCTCACCCCTGCCAACCTTTTAGAGAAATACTCTGTAAAATAAAATAATTTGTACTTCTAACACAGGAAAATTCAAACTAACTTCATGAACGATGCTGTCAGCCGTCTGATCTGAGATATCTTCTCCAGCTTTTCTCCTAGTTTTTTTTTCAAATCTGTGCTGCTCTCCACTTTCTTGATGTTTTCCTGTTGTGTGATAGAATTTTAGATGTAAATAAGCATTGTTCAGGATAAATAGCGTGATATGGTACTCCTTCAAGTATACAGGAATCCTTAAAAATGCACCAAATGTTTCAAGAAAGTACTATCTTCTTTGAAGACAATCTTGGAAATGCATGTTCACATCCAAAAAAAAAGAGAAATTAGAATCGGTTTGGGGATTTCTGAAGCGCTTGATCTAAAGGGACATTGTATATTGAAGTGAGGGACTTGGTTGATTATGAATAATTGGATAAGCTTCAGTTCTTTTTAATATTACGGGTAGCAAGCCATTGCATAACCTTTACAAGTCTAAAAGCTCAGAAAAGCGCAAAATCCAGAGAGATCACATGACTTCGTCAGACCAATAAGAAAAGTTTGTTGGGTGTGCAATTATGGACATGAAATTAATTATACCAGGAAGTCCTGTGCTGTGATGTATGGGCTCGCCAAGACACGTAGATGATATAGCTTCTTCCCAATGCACCCAGGCTCTCTTTCCTCTATCTTCTTTGCAATCAGAATGAATTCATCCTCTGCTTCTGTTCCCATATCTAGCAGCTTGTTCAATACCGGGGGAGTTCTTTTCCCCTGGTAAGGAAAATAAAGAAAACGCCCAAATTGCACGTTTGCCTAAGGGGTGCCGATCGGTAATAATCCTTCCAGAAAAGAGGAAGATTCAGGTACAAACATTCCTACTGTAATAAATAATTTCGACTAAGGCATCGGAAACAGGGTTTCCGTCTAATGCCTGCAGTAGGGGATTACAATTCTCAGCATAAACCACGTCTCATTTTTTTAAGGTAAACATGCAGTTCCAAGAAAAACCTCGGAATCGATCCCTCTGACTAAAGCGAGTAATGGAGCTTTCCTCTTATTTTCTGCAAAATTCCAATCCCACGTCGGAATCGTGTTTCCGTTCAGGGAAGTAAATTTCCTTTTCATTCTGGATTTCCTTAATTACCTTCATTATTCCAAAATGGTTCCTTTCTATTTGAAACACTCCATTATAAATTAGATTTGATTTCGTCAGGCGACTTCCACTTACCAGCCCATAATTGGTGCATCCTTAACACGGAAGAGCTGTAACTTCTATTCACTAACGCGATTATTCGATACCTTCTTAATTCGTTTAATCACTTTCGGAAAATATCGCGACCCATTCTCGCCTCTCTCTTCTCAAGAAGAAAGTGCATAAGGAGAACGACCGAGTCTTTGATCTTTCATACTTTGGTCCAGGAAGTGCGTGCTGCCGGCAGCCAGGAAATGTAGATGATGTCGGTGAAGCAGGGCATCCATCGTTTCAGAGCAGTTTCGCTCCCAACGGGAAGAAGTAAGGATGCTCTTCATTTCCCCGGTATCCGATAGGGAAATACACATAAAAACATATTCCTTCTTGAGAATGAAAATCTGCGCGTTTTCCGTAGCATCACGATGTCATAATTAAGGTTATATCGGAGGCTACTGGGAGTCATCGACCATTCCGAATGTAAGCAAAACGTATCGGGTGGCAACTCTAAGGTGTCGATACGGAATGGTCCGAATGATCGAGGTTTTTCCGAGAATATTCGGAACACGCTTTTCCTTCGCGAATGAGGAAAAGTATCGTTCGCTTGAACTTCGGAATTTGAATGTAGATCCCTTAGCCATAATATTTTATGAAAAAGAATGGGAATTTTTCGCAAATAGAATGAAGTCGAATTTCCCAGGACATGCATTAAAATTTTTTCGTCCATTAGAGGGAATGCGGGTTTATATGCTCCTTGTCGGACATTTTTACGAGGAGACTCGAAAATTTCTGAAATTTCTTTTATCGTGCGCTTTGTATTATTAGAGCACAAAAATAACCTGCTGCTTGCGTCTTTCAGCTGCAAAAAAAAACTCGAAAAAATAGTGCATTATACTAACCTTCATTGTTGTTTTGTAGGCATTTCTTATGTCGAAGGTACTTTCGGCCTATTCTTCCAAACTTCGGCATCTGTGAAGCTGGAATTGAGAGGAAATTAATATTTAAATGGCAAGACAAGCATCAAGATTTCAATCACGATTTCAAGAGTTTAGAATTTTGGGGTATTATTTAACTGCAGATCTAAATACTTGCTAATGAAGAAAAGTAATCAAATAAATGTGTATAAATTGTAAGGAAATGTATAAATATATCAGGAATATGAGTGATCTGTTTTCGTCTACAGTGGGTGTCACATGGGGACCTGACCAAACTAAGACTTGTGTACACATTTGGAAAACTAACTCCATCAGTTTTTCAATAAGGTGAAAAGGAAATAGCAGTGGTACTCACAACTCCCAGCACATCATAAGGGATAGCCTCCAAGTTGGCATTGTACAACGAGATCATTCTCATTTCAGCTTCTGTGAGTCCGACGTAGACCGCACATGTGCATGTTGCTTTCCCGGCACTTGTGTCCTCGTATATTTCCTTCCTCGCCATCAATATGTGTTGGCCAGCAATCGCTTGGTAGTTGTAAGGACGCACCTGCAAAGCTTCGCTAATATAATTATTCTGGTGCTGAGAATAGCTTCTTCGTTTCACAAAACGAAGAACGCCATATAGTAGGAATGTAATGAGCAAGAACATTTCCAGAAATAACAATCAACATGAAAAGCTTGCAACATGCATGCTACTTACGTAATTAGCATCGAACAAAGTTTTTGTCAATAATGGAGTATTCGGAATGGCCACCACGATGGGCAATTGTCCTCCCATGTCATCTCCTTCTGCCAATAACTTCTCCTTAGGTGTATCCACTGCGTTCTTGGACAAGGGTCTCGCCGCTTCGCTGCTCTGCCTGATAAGCTCCAAGGGGATGTCATACTTTCCTGTAATGTATGCATTAAGTAATGGGACATTAGAAACAGGTAAATATTGATGAAGGGACAAAGACTATGAAATGTAACCAGCGAAGCAAGCGTCGTGTCGATTTGAATCCCAAAAATGTTTTTTTTTCTTTTTTCGGGATTCGTCACACTTCGAAATGCAGCATCTACCTTGCGTTTCTCTAGTCCCATTGCCTGGGCATCGATGGGGGAAGTGCTTTGTAAGGTTAAGCTAATTGTGCCTGCTTCCGTGCGCACTGTCTCTTGTGGAGAGGAGGAACTGCAACGAGTGCAAGTGAAGCATGAAAGCTATGCCATAACTACATGCGGAGTAACATGTTACCTCTGAGCGTAGGAATTAACCTTTTCCATTCTCATGAAATATTTCAGGATAGATTAGGCTTTCTCCGAGAGGAGAAACACAAGCGCGGCAAAGATAGGGAGTCATGAAATCGCTCAGTGATGTACATCACATGGATGCGAAATTGCATCTTAGTAAGAGTATAACATGTAGTGCTTTTCGTTGCAATTGAATTGCTCTTTCGTTTGAAGTAATTTTCAACTTTACGTTATGACCGCAGAAGTCCAGGTTCAACTCCCGGCCACGGCGTTAATTCTTTTCTTTTTTTTCTTCTTCTGGAGTTTATGCATTTGCATAGTTTGAATGAGTCTTCGTCAGCGAACCACCATTTCCCCTATGACGCAACTCCGATCCCTGACGTGATGACCTCTTAATTACTTAATTAATTGTAACGGTATATGAAAAAAGGAAAAAACTAACGGAGCTTGGAGAACATCTTCGTCGTCGATCCTAATGGAGTCAAACATATCACCGCATCAATAGCATACATCCACTCATTTGCATACCTATATCACCCCTCCTTTAGAGGGCGGGGGCAGAGCAGACGACAGGAAGGTGGAGAGGCAGCCCCTGACGTCACACAATAGGGAACCCCTTCCCCCAACCCTTCCATTGTTATATAACAATAACATTGTATCAACACTACCCCCCCTCCCCCTATGGCGCAATCCCTTTGGACGCCAGACGGGGGGGAATCTCTCTTACGTCCAATAAAAACATTAGGATGCTCTGTAGATATAATAGATCACGAAGACACTCTCGTTCATCACGGTTGCGCAAGATTCGATGCAGATTTGCAAGAAATTCCTCAGACGAGTTTACAGTAGAAGTAAATTTGAGCAGAAACCAATAATTAATATTACTATGTAAACTTACAAGAGTACATGACCTTAACCTATGAAAACCAAGTTGTTTGCATCACGTTGCATATTTGTATTAAACTGGTTCCCAGCATTGATCTGACATCTACCACCGACGTATTTCTTTCAAGTAGCGAAAATTACGAAATATGAGTTTACTATTTTCTTTTTCATTTCATAGTCCTCGCCTTCATCTAATGATAACATCATTAAATAAATAAAATTATAAACAGTACATTGCATATCGGAAATGTTCTCTCGTGCTTGTTATTGTAATGTGATATGAATTTCCATAAACATCCTTTTTTTCATTCCTTAGGAGGATGTAAATCTTCCGATTAAGTAGACTCCTCATATTGTAAGCACGTCGACGTAAAAAAAAATAAAAAAACAGAGGACGTTAAAAGACCGATAACAATAAACAGTGACATTAGTGAAAACTGGAGATTTCCTGGTCAAATGACCTAACAATGATCTGACTGATTACAATACCCTGCGAACGTTGAACGCGACCTCTGCTAAATGGATTCAGCCAAATCCATTCGTGAAATATGTGACCCTGCAAAAGTATATTCACTGGTAGCAAGCTGGTCCCGTTCCCGCAAGGAAACAATCAAAAGAAAATAGATGATTTCACATGAAACGTCTACTCTCAGAGAGTACTACTACTACTACTAATTTCGGGAAATTCCGGGGATTTCATGCGTTCTCCATTGTGACGACACCTCCTTCGTCGAGACATTTCTAACTTGTGGCTACCGGCGGGAAACGAAGGGAGACTCTTAATTTGTATATTTAGCTAGAAAGATCCTCAACGTGAAGGTGTTAGGTAGCACGCTGTAGTACTCCTTCCAGCTGCAGATTTGAAACTGGTTTGAAATGAAGAGAAAAAAATGTTTTCTTTGAAATCTATACGTGTCCTTGTGTTTCATCAAAATATTTTTTATCAACAATATTCATGATGGTGTTGCATTCAAGATACCAACAAGCATCGTGCCTTCCTCTGGCAGTACGTTAATCTCCTCTCCAGAAACAAAGGGAATTTGTGACATAGCCTCCCCAGCGTATTTGGTGCATTTTAATGATATTAAAGACACCTAATGTGCATTTATGAATGAATAAAAGAACCAGGTTTTCCCATTTGAGGTTGCGAGTAAGTTTCATATGAATGTCCAACTTGATAACAAGCACGTGGTGCTAATGGGTTAATGGTATGCGCTTCTGAAGGTCTCCGCTATGACATTGCATAAAGAAGCATGTGACCTACGAAATATGGTGGTACCATCATGATCATGGCACAGTTTCGTTCATTGCGAGGAAGGTGAAGAAATATCTCTGGTCCCGTACCTCTTTCCCGTTCTTTTGCGGAAAAACGGGATAAAGGAACGGGATGGCTCCGTTATGCAAACCGTTAATGTTTCTGAGACTGTGACGCACCCACTTTAGCGTGATTCATTTCGAACTTGCGGTCTCCCATCGATGCGCCAACAATGAGAAGGTGCGAGTAGCAGAAAGCACCCTCGCTAGGGTTGAAAGGTGCACCCCATGTTGTGCTAATCCTTGAGGTAATCCGAAATATAATGTGGGCATTTTCTCATGTTTTTGCTTCATGACCATTATGTTTTCACAAATGACATCAGCGCGCTAAATGTTGCATTGCATCTTTGGTTCTGAGATTTTACTAAATACGTTTACTTCACCTTTTATGACAATCAGGTCCATTCACATGATCAGGCACGAAGGATAACCATAATTCTAATGAGACCAATAGGTCTTGTGCATATGAAAGTGCTCAAATATAGATAAGACATGAACGTTCTCGAGGACGTTGCACCCGTGCTGAAAGATGTTTTCCGACGTCAATTTAGTCGGATGAGCATCTTTTGCTCAGTTCAGGTGCAGTTTGATGGACAT